CTTATGTGAACCCTTGTTACGAAGGATTGATTTATTTTTACTCATTTATATAAATTTCTTTATCTTTACCTTGTGCGGAATTTCTATTTTCTTTATTAGACTTGATCAATCTAATAGTTGATGATAGCTTGAGGATTAGAACCCTAGATAGGAATATTGAGGTTTTTGATCTTGAAAGGGGGTAAGATAACAATGATTATGCATGCTAGGAATAGATGTATAATTAATTGTAGACGCTTGAATTATCGTGTTCAGTGCTTAATTCTCATGAGGGGTTACTAAGGGATTAGGATTCCAATTGAGATTAAAGGGTTAAATTGCCAAGGAATTGGAATTTAACTAATTAATTCTAGAAGATAATTATCTAAGTATTTATATAAATAAGTATTTTTAAATCAATCCAAAGTAAGAAGTAGGGATCATAAGGTGAGTGCACTCTAGCTACAATGCTTTTCTCACATTTACAAAAATCAATTCTCAGTTTATTGTTCTATTTCTTATAAACAAAATTACAAAAACAAGTCTTTATTTTTAGTTCTCACTTTTACACAAATTGATAATATTTGTCAAAAACCATTTGAACTCTTCCATTCTTGAAAGGAACAATTAATTGATATACGATCACAATTCCTGTAGAGACGATACTCTACTCACTTTCTATATTACTTGTGCGATCGGTATACTTACTGGAAAGCATCATGGATGTAACCCGGTTTTGAGGGAACCACATGAAAATTTTTGTCTCTTTATTTACTTTAGTTTGCAACGTTATAATTACTTGAGTTCGCAAAAATATTCATTGTAACCCGGTTTTTCCTGACAATTGCAAGCACATAAATCATATTTCACACAATTTTTTATAACTTCACAAGGCGACTGCAACATTGTCTGCAATTTACAACCATACTCAAGGGTGACCCCTTAGCTTGATATTAAGGAACAACCCCCCTCCAAAAAAAAAAATCCTTAAAATGTCTCTATTACATTTTATAAATGTAAAAGTTCATTTAATTTATTTTATATTCCAAAAAAAAAACTTTTATTACAAACTTTTATCTAAAAAATATTGATTATCAATTTCTCAGAAAGAAAATAAATAAACTTGATTGCTGAAAAATTAATTTATTTGAATATATGCCAATGTGAGGTTATACTCTATTTCATATCATTTTAGTAAGAATTACTAAGTCTTAATTGATGTAAGAATTAGTTAAAAGTAAACTAAAATAAATTAATTTAAACTCATATTATATATTTATTTTTCAAAATAAAAACTCATGTGCATATATAAGATTTTAAATAACTCGTGTTGGAAAACTAATTCTAATAAAATGACCCTTACGTCGTAAATATTTGGATAAATATAGAGACTTCTAAATTTTGATCAAAGAAGACCGGAAACTTCAGTCTATGGAGCGAAAACCTGTGCATACAAGCCCTTTAGGTGATGTTTGGTTGGGGAGAAGTAAAATTTTTGATGGGTAAGTGTATGTGGGTATCTGTCTTCACCACGTTTGGTTGGGGATTTTCAATAGATTTTCCCATCTAACTCACTTGGCTAGGAAACGAGAAAGAGGACCAAAAATTGGAGAAATGCACTGTTCAGAAACCGTTTGAAGATGTGGAATTGTTGTTCAAAATCGGATAAATGAAAAAGGTGATGAAATATTGGTCAAGTTTACCCCTGCTTCAGTTTACTGCGTAAGAAAAAAAATAGGTTCTGAACAGTATAACACGGAGGTGTTTTTTTAGGATATTTTTGTAAATTTCATTAAATTTTTCCATCAATATTTTATCTTCAACCAAACACACATTCAGAAATTTAATTCTATTTTTCTGGTAAAATTTTGCCCAACCAAACAACTTTTTTACAACTTTCCTATCTAACTCATTTTTCCTCCAGATCTCTAGTATTTAAATTTCCCTAGTATTAAAAAATTTCTCCCCAACCAAACACTACCTATTTATTTTGAGATCAAGTGTTATATGTTTAGAGATACAAATAGCCATTTTTTTCCCGATACATCAATTGCTGTACTTGCTTCCTCTAACGTATCTTTTTATTTTAGAGGATAAAGTGTAGAGTTATGATCTTTATTAATTGAAAAATTAAGTGAGTACAAATTTTCATAAATTTATAATTTATAAAACATGTGCAACCATTTTATCAAAATCTCAACCATTAACTTTTTATTCTGTAATTATAATTCCTTACTTTACATTTTGAAATGCATTTTTATATTTTTACCCCTCGAAAATGCGCTTTTCACTTTAGAATAACCAAATCTCATTATATACTAAACTATTTTTCTTTTGAGATGAGATCTAACTTTCATTAATTGGTGACATCTGTCTCCAACAGAGAAATATTTAACCTCTCATGCTTTTTCTTTAAAAAAATTCTGCTTTTTCGTAGACATATATTATAATCAATATATTACATGTAAAGGTGTACTGGATGTGCAATTCAATAATAACTTATTAAATATTTCACCACCCTTTATTTAAATAAAATAAAATATATATATATATATATATATATATATAATAAAATAAAGACAAACTAATTTTAATCCATTAAACATTTTTCATTATAGCAACTTGACACATTTGGATTTATATCTCTTACGTTGATGCACTAAAAAAAATTGAGATGAGACAATAAAGAAGAGAGAGAAAGTGAGATGAGGAAAAAAAAAATAGTAATCCCCATATCTTTATAGTCTCGACTGTAAATTTTTTTGGGGTGTAGCAACATAAGAGTTATAAACCCAGTTATAATAATCATAAATTAAATTTAAATTCAACACATTAATTACAAACTCATATTATAGGGGTTTTTTCTCGGAATATTTTAAAGGAGAAGTGTGTGTTATTTTAAAAGATGTAAAGTTGTATCATTTTAAGAGAGAGAAAAAGATAAATAAAATAGAAGAGTGAGTGGACAAAAAAAATAAAGGTGTGGGTCCCACTTCTTTGAGAGAGTGAAAGAATATAAGTTGTGTCATTTAAAATGATAATCATTTTTCTCATATTTTAAAGGTAGTTAAAAACCATTGATAAGTTTTGAGTTTTCCTTATCAGTAGCATAGATGGATCATGGAGGAACAGTGACTATTTTGTCACGCTTGGCCAAATTATTTACTAGACTGCCACGCCAACAGTAAAAATTCTCGGAATGCCACGCGGCATAATTCGCTAGACTGTGCAGCGAAATATGTTTGCAAATAATTCACTACACAGTGTAGCGAATTGTGCTATGTCAAGGCTGCACAGTTAGCAGTAATGACACGTGTCAAGCAGACAGTAATACAAGCAGAATTCGCCTCACAGTGTAGCGAATTACTGCCTGCTTGACACATGTCATTTTTGCTAACTGTGCAGCCTGACATGGCATAATTCGCTATACTGTGGAGCGAATTATTTGCAAACATATTTCGCTGCACAGTCTAGCGAATTATGCCGCGTGACATTCTGAGAATATTTTACTGTTAACGTGGTAGTCTAGTAAATAATTTACTGAAGTGTGGCAAAATGGTCAGTGTTCCGGATTATGGATACATTTATCCAATGTTATTAAAACCGGCCCGGTTATTGACTCGATCGAGGTACTGAATCACTGGGTCACTGGTTCAATCGCATGACCCGGTAATTATATGTAATTTTATAATTTATATTAAAAAATTATAAACATACTCAAATATCTAAAAATAATAATAAAAATTTCAAATATTTTAATATAAAAAATAATAAATCACATATTATTATCCAATAAAGAATCAAACAAAAATATAATGATCATGATACGGGGCTTTAGGTTTAAAATACGACATCTCTAACTATAAATCAAATTAAAATTTTCTGGATAGTACATAATTGAGATAATATTAATGTTGTAGGTACATAATTTATGTAAGTCAATAAGTAAAAAAATAATCAAATATGTCCATTATGATTTTATTTTATTTTTAAAAAAATAATTTAAATTTTTTTTATTTTTTGGGACTGGGCCGGGTCACCGATTTTCATAAAAACCGGACGGGTCGGACCGGGTCACACCGGTTCTGATGCATGACCGGTCCGTTACTTCAACCAAATCGATTAGATCGGATCGATTTTTATGTTTTTAAGAGACAAAAAAAAAATTATGGGAGAGAAAATGAAAAAAAAAAGTTTTAAAAATGTAATCCCACCTTTTTATGAGAGTGAAAGGATGTAAGGTGTAAGGTGTTCGCGTTCTAGATTGGATCGATTTTGGAAGCAAAAATTATCTGATCCAATCCCTTCGGTTTGATCATGTAATTATCTATTCGATTTGGATTTTTTTTAAATCCAATCCAATCCAATTTTTTTCGGTTTGGATTGGATTGATTTTCGGTTTTTTAAAAAATTTAAAATTTATTTCATGATTATTGTGCAAATAAGATCTTTTGTGTATATTGGTTTTATAATACTTTTTTTTAAATACAAAAACATCAGATAATATAGTTTTTTTTGGGACATGAAGCTCTATATAGATAAAATTTTGTTGATGAGATGTGACTAGATTTTTTTTCTTAGGTTTAGTTGATGGGTTAATAGGTCTTGAGTTTAGAAATTTTTGGGCTATGATTGAAAAAAGGCTCAGATAGGTAGAGGAAAATTAATATATTGGATCAGTTTGGATTGGATCGATTTTCATATACCAATCCGAAAACCGATCCAATCCAATTAAAATTTGCGATTTTTATTTGGTTTTCGATTTTTTAGTTTTTGATTTGTTCTGTTATCGATTTTTCGATTCGATCACCGCGATTTAGATAGGCTGATGAACACAATAAGGTGGGTCCCAAAGCCGGATATCAAAACTGGTGGTGGGTGAGAATGAAGCAAGAGGTGCTGTCAACCCCACAAAGTCTTTGAACTTGTGGCTGAGAGTGAGAATCAACCTTAGAGGCCAACTGCGTTTGACAAACACTCATTTATTGTGTCTTAACTCTTATGCTTACTAAAAACCCACATATGACATATTCATCTCTCTTGGAATAGCCACCAAGGTCCCCAAAAACCTTAAAAATATCCTCTCTCTTTTTTTAGTTATCCTGCATGCTCTAATAATAATCCTTCCCCATTATCATTATTCATTGAGCTAAACCTTCACCTGCACCACTAACAGCAGGCAAGGCAACTAACATCTCAGAGAAAACAAAAAAAGCTATCATACCCGCATGGATTTGGTGAAATCTGTCTTGTTCCATGTGCTTTTCTGTTTCTTTGTTTACTCTACCTATGTTATTATTATGTTATTCTTATCGGTAACTTTAGTAAAGGAGCAAAGTCAAATGTTCATTCTTTCTACTAGTATCTGACTTCAAACTTCTCTTTGCTTTTGTTGAATGAAGCAATGAAACTGAGAGGGTTCAAGTTCAATTATGCGAACGCTTTGCGATGCTTGTGAGAGCGCCGCCGCTATCGTTTTCTGCGCCGCTGATGAGGCCGCTCTCTGCCGTGCCTGTGATGAGAAGGTAGTTTTTTTTTTATGTTTTTTTTTCATTATCTTTGGTGAGACTTGCTTGCTTTTAGGTGCAATTGTGGACCCTTTGTGTTTTTTAATGTCATGATTTATTGACTAATAAAAACAAATCCCTCCCCTATTAAACCCGAAATAAAGAGGATTGGATTAGCTCAATCCTTATACACAACCTTATAGCATGGATGGGACGAGGACAATAATTTTGAGCAATAATTTTATTTTATTGAGCAATCCTCTCACTACTCAAGCCTCACCCTCTTTATTGAGCAATAATTTTTTTTTTATTTTTATTTTCCATATTTTCTTTGGTGATTTCTGATGGCCACATCTTGTTGCTTTGGTATTCATTAATGTTAGACAATAATAAGTTGGTATTTCCCTTGAAATCACTACTGAGCCTGTTATACTCCGATCTTTTGGTGAAGTCTATCACGCTGTTTCATTGGGAATGTAACAATATTGGAATCATGGGCTAAACTTGGAGATGTCCCATGATAGTGAAAAAGAGTATCTATAAGGTGCTTCAAATTAAAGGACTTGCAATTCGAGTCACCGGCTTTGTTATTGTTTCATAAGTATACTTTAATCAGATTGATCTTTTCTCTGGACTTGGGTGATTGTGAAATCTAAGTTGGTTTACTTAGAAGTCTTGCTTGTCCTGGTCAACATCTTTCAATGTAGTAGTTCATAGTTTAAGCTCAATATTTGTATGACAGGTTCATATGTGTAATAAGCTAGCTAGCCGGCATGTAAGAGTTGGTCTTGCAAGTCCAAGTGATGTGCCGCGCTGCGACATTTGTGAGAATGCACCTGGTAGGATGTTTCCTCCCTCTATCCTCGTCCTGTTTCTGATATGCCTTTTGCTTATTATATGTTTTCCCTTTGAATATGGATGCAGCCTTCTTCTATTGTGAGACAGATGGAAGTTCCCTTTGTTTGCAGTGTGATATGATAGTTCATGTTGGAGTCAAAAGAAAGCATGAAAGATATCTTCTTTTTAGGCAGAGAGTTGAGGTATGTCTCCCCTTGCCAACATGAATTGGTCATACTGTGTTATCTTGATGCTTTAGCTTTCATTGAAATTTGTATAATATCTGTTTGCTCCGTAGTTTCCAGGAGATAAACCCGGTCATGTGGAAAACCCAGCTTCACAACCTCTGGACCCAGGTGAGACTAAAAGAGGACAAAATCAACTGCCCAAAATAAAAATGGGAGAAAAACAACAAAATCACAGGATGCCAGAACCTGATACTGGTGGGCATGCCATGATGGAAACTAAAATGATTGATTTGAACATGAAGCCTCACAGAATGCATGAACAAACATCAAATAATCAGGTTAGAGTGCATGAAAAGTAAATTTTGTCTGACTAGTTTGAAATTTCTAATCTGGTAAGGGCTTATGGAATATTCCAAATACTTGCATATATTGCCAGCTCATCTCCACTTAAAAGGCTTATAGGATTGTCAATTAATGAAATTATATCCCTAATAGCATAATTTTATCTCACTAGAACCTGGATCACTTCATAATTATTGTTGTATTTATCTCTAATGCTATGTGGTGGTGAAGTATTTATAATATTGAATCATTATCTAAATGGAATTTGAATCATGGATCATTCAAGCCTCCAAGTACTTAGATAGTTGTCTAGTGAATAAAAAATTAAGCAAGCATTCACTTTGCTTGATGCTTTATGTCGTGCGAGATCAGTTGTCTAGCTTGACTTGAAGAAACATCTTCTGGCCCCTTGCAAGTAGGACTCACAGAGAAATCATCCCCTTTTACTACAGAAACTTACAGGAATTAACATGACAAGGATTATTATTATGTACTCCTAATTGGGGGATGAAAAATCCTTCAGATATTGCCTTAATGAATATATACACTAGTAAAAATGAATTCTATGAACTCCTACAAATTGCTTCCTTCGGAAGCAGGGACTGGTAATTTTTTGTAAAACATTAGAAATTGATTTCCTTACAAGGTAAAATACCAGGTATTCTGCCTATTAACTGTGAAATTTCAAAAGTATGTTGCTTCCACAAGCATTTGGTTAAAGAATTGAACTGAACAATCTACCATATCCTTTTTTCTTTTCATCTGCAGTGCTATCATTTAGTGACTGCATGAAAGTAGAACCTTTTAACCTTTGTATTAAACATATCCCTGTTACAATATGCATGACATGCACCTGCATATATATTACTCAGGAATGTTTTTCTTTGCTTGGCAGCCATAAGTCATGCAACTGGTCAATGCAGTTCTGACAAGATCTTACACCAGAAATCTTCAGAGATAAATGGCTTATATATGTCTCATGCATGCTAGTTACAAGGTTGTCATACACTGTGACATCCTAATCTGGCAAATGAGGTGTTGTGGCACCAGGTCTTTTGAGGATTATGTTCAACTATGTAGGAATTCAATTTGCTATTTTAACACATCATATATGTACTGAAGAGAATTGTTAACTTTAAATCTGCTATCCCCTGGCAATGAATTGTGTGTTAACTCTTATGGTTTGAAAGTTTTATATGCCATAATACTAAGCTCCTGACAGAAAATGGCAAAGAGAAGGGTGGGAAGAGATTTTGATTCGAAGTTTAGCCAAACCACATGATGTTAAACAAAGTAGCAAGTAAAGGCACCTTTGTCAAATGGTGGCAACTGTAATTTTTTGACAAAAAGAAATTAAAGGCAAATAGTTTGGATGGTGGCAAACGAAAATTTTCTTCTTAGTTGTGAAAGTTGGCAGGGGAAAAAATTCAACAATTTTTTCAGTATAGAGCATTGGGGATAATGCCTGCTGCTTAATTCGGGATTAGTCCCATGTCTATCTCTTTTCTTTCTGCCTGGGTTGTAAGGATGTTCGGAGCTTGATCCCTTCCAAAGGGATAATTATTGAGGAATAATGTTTCTTATGTTCTAGGAGATAAATTTTATTTACACACGTAGAAGTGTATCGGGTTTATATATATATATATTTTTCTCTTTTTCTCATATGGTCTCATGCGCTTTACATATTTTTATGTGTGTAGAAGATAAAATTATTTTCTATAATATAAGAAGAGAAAGGTTATACTTACAACCTATTTTTATTTACAATCTCTTACAACCATATCTTAACACCGTTGATTTTCGTCAATTAACGGTTATTATTTTTTCAAATCAAACTCATTAATTATTATTAATTCAAAATAACTGATAACCGTTGATTGACGGAAATCAACGGTTAAGATATGGTTGTAAGAGGTTGTAAACGAAAATAGGTTGTAAGTATAACATTCCTCATATAAGAAATATTAATCCCTAATTAAAATAATGAAATCAAAAAAAAATTATAAATTTTTTGCTTTTTCCCATGATTTTTTATAAATTGAGGATTTTTCTTATCTATTTTTAATGGAATAAGTATTTGTCATTTTACATAATATAATTTTGTGCCATTTTTAATAAAATTATGTTATTTTTGTGTGTTTTTGATATTTTTTGATATTTTATATTTTTTTATAAAATTAGGAAGAATAGAAAGTGGAGGATAAAAAATGTAAAAATATATCAAAACGACGTAGTTTTATTAAAATTGACACAAAATTATATCATTTAACATGATAAATATTTTCTCCATTTTTAATTGTGTAATCCTGTTTTTATAATTTTGATACTTGGCACATGATTGTTTTCATAATTCTGTACCCAAAAACGATGGTAGAAATTGTAGCTTTTAAATTTGTTTATGCATTATGTCTCTTTTTCCCGTTCTTTGATTGGGACAGATGTTTCAAGGTTGGAGGTAGCCATGGTTTCCAGCTTTGGTTTGACCAAATCGTGAATTATTGTGCACTTGTCTGTCCTTGAAAGACACCATCATTTACCATTTCCCACAATGATAAAGCCCTTCACGGTTGGTTGGAACTAGAGGTGACAAAGTGAGCAGCCCGTCGTGTCCTGCCATTCAAAAAATGAGTCAGTCCGCCCTGCCTCGTTTGGCGGGTTGGACGGGTTGGTCCGCCAGCCCGAGTCTATTTTACAATGACCCGCCTCGGCCTGCCTATGTCCGCCATCAACCCGCCAAAAAATGAGTCCGCCCTGCTTTTGAGATGAATTGAAAAACTCAGCCTGTCCCGTCCCGTTTGGCAGGTTGGGCGGGTTGGCCTGCTGAGCTGAGCCCGTTTTGCCGGCTCTAGTTGCAACTCTTTTCCGTGTTTCCGTGTCTATCTTGGGGTGTTTTTGAGAGTTTGGAGAGTAGGGGATGGAAAGGTATCCAAGTAGAAGGGAAGGGAAGAAAGGGAAGGGAACTGAAGAGTATTCTCATCCCTTATTTGGAAGTTAAAAAAATGATAAGAGAAAAAAAAAATGAAAGGTTAGTGAGATAGTTTTACCATTTTACTCTATTTTAAAAAATTAATGTAATTATTATATTTTACAAAAAAAAAATTATTTATATTTTTTTCCACTATTTAAAAAGATCATATTTTCGATGAAATTTCTACATTTCAAACAACGAACAATACATTTCGACGAAATTTTTTGGTCGAATGGAAATAAAAATATTTATCCGTCGAAATTTTGATTGAAATAATTTTGCATCAAAACTTTTCATGGAAACATAATATCGTTGAAATTTTGATTGAAATAATTTTGCATCAAAATTTTTGATTGAAATATTTTTCATTAAAAATTTGGACGAAAATATTTTCGTCAAAAGTTTTGATGAAATTTGGATTTCGTAAAAAGATTTGATAGAATTTTTTTCATCAAAATTTTTGACGAAATATTTCGTCCAAATTATCGACGGAAATGTTTTCCAGCAAAAGTTTTCTAAAGAAATGTGTTCCGTCAAAATTTGACGGAAATATTTTCCGTTGAAAATTTTGATCCAAATATTTTCATCGGAATTTAGATTCCATCAAGAATTTTGACAGATTTTTTTTTTGTCAATGTTTTTGACGAAAATGTGTTCCGTAAAAAATTTTGACAAAAAGATTTCAACGGGATTTAGATTTTGTCAAGAGTTTTAACGGAATTTTATTTCCGTAAAAAATTACTATAAGTGATTGTGACCAAATCTTATGCGGTCTCTAATTTTGTCTTTAGTTTCGATAAATAAAAAAAATTCATCTCTATTTTCGATGAAATATGATTTTCGTCAAAAATTTCGTCGCTATTTTTGAGAAAATATTCTCTATAAATAAATTTTGTCGGTATTTAAAATTTTTCTTGTAGTGTCACATTTAAAAAAAATACACACTTATGTAATTTTTATATTTTAATGCTAAGGATATATAAGTAATTTCAAATATAACCCCCCCCCCCCCCCCCTCTCAAACCCCTCAAATTGGAGAAATTTTAATTTTAAAATAATAAGGATTTTGGAGGATTTTGTGAAAATCTTCAATTCCTTTCCCTCACTTTTTAAACTCACAAAAAAAGGGAAAAGATTATTAAAATCCTTCCATTCCTTTCTTTTATCTCGTAAAACTAACTCCCAAGCAAAATATTTTATTATTTCTTAAGGGTGTATTTGAGAATTTGAAGAGAAAGTAAATGAAGGGATTCAAGGGGAAGAAAAAGGGAACGAAGAGATCTAATGGCGAGGAACGGAAGGCTATGATGCACGGACACGGGACACGACACGACACGTCGACACGTTAATTCTGAAAAATGTCATATTTCGACACGTTGGGACACGTTTTGATATTAAATAAAATTTTTAATATATATAATATGATTTATATTTAATACATATAAGAGTGTATAATAAGTCATATAACCAATCAAATATTTAAATTTCATAACATAAATATAAATATAAATAATTTTCGTACTTTGTTAATTTTTAATGTCAAATTTCATAATAGAAAAATATTAATTTATAAATTATTTCTTTTATATTTAGTTAACAAAATAAAATTAAGATATAAAAAAATAAATAAAAAAACGTGTCCGAGCGTGTGCCCAAAGACCGCGTGTCCCCAAATGTTGACTGCGTGTCGAAATGTGTCGGAGAGTTGACTGTGTGTCTCCAAATGTTGACCACGTGTCGGACGCGTGCCCGTGTCGGACACGCAAATTTTAGAAAAAAAAACTCGTGTCCATGCTTTGCAGACAGAAGGAAAATAAAAGATATTATTTTTTAAGAGAAAAAATAGAGAGTTAACGAGATATTTTTATAATATTTCTTTCTTAAGAAATTAATATGATTATTATATTTTACTAGTGAAATTAAATTTAAAAATTTTATTTAATAATTTTTATATTTAAAAAATAAGTTTCTCTTTGAAAAATTATTTTCTCTCTCTAAAATTTTATTTAAGTAATTTTTATATTTAAAAAATAATTTTCTTACTTAAAATTATCTTCTCTCACTTAAATTTTATGTTTTTCTCACAAAAAGCATAAATAGAAGGGAAAATAAAGAAGCGGTCATCGTTAGGGTTTCATTTTTGTGTGAAATGAAAAGATAAAATTATATGCGGTCATTAGATTTATTTTTGTCTCTCTTTTTCACACATATGATTTTATATATGTAAATAGAGTTTGATGTTTGTCATTTTAAATGACATAAGTTATGTCATTTTAGGAAGAGAAAAGACAAAAAATGAAAATCATGGAGAAGAAAATATGTGATTTTATTAATTTAAATTTTAAATTAAAAAATTTATTTTTGTCTATTTCTCTCTTAAAATGACATAACTTTATGTCATTTAAAATCACAAATATTTTTTTCATATAAAGAAGATAAATTATTTCCTATAATATGAAAAATATTAGTTCCATCAATAAATTGAATTTTGAAAAAGATAAAGGTAAAGAGATGTCTTCGTACGGATTTTGTGATAAAAAAAAAATAGAAAAAAGAATCAAGGCCAGACAGGGAAGGCGTCCTCTCCTTCTGGTCATGGTGATAAAAAAAACAACAGGAATATGTCAATTTTTTTTTGGAGTTACCCAACCCTAATTATTTTTTTGAGACGAGTTGGCTCCCTCCGGTATCCCCACGAGCTTCGACTCTTTGAGCCGGCTATGGGACTAATCCGGAGTGCGGGGAAACAGTGATGGCTAAATGTTCAGCCCCCTCCCCAAGAATGGATTCAGTGTAACAACAGGAATATGTCAATTTGCAACAGTGAACGTAGTCAAAATCAAAATCATATGAGATATGGAAGAGAGTGAAACACGTAAAAGGTTAGATGTAATAACACAAATTATAATATCTTACTTAAAATATAAAATTATATTCACACATGCATATAATAGTATTATAAATAGAAGAATATTATATTTATCATGTTTATTGTTTTTTATCACCTTTTTTATGAAAGTAAAACATAATGTAAAGAAAATATTATTGTTTTTTAATATTTTTCCATCTTTCTATTTTCACTTCATGTTTTAGTAAAGATATTTACTAAATATTCAACAATTACAATAAAAAGTTGCCATCATTCACTTCATGTGATTGTGCTGTTTATAATTTAACGATAAATGATATGAAATTAAAAAATAACAAGATAAAATGAAATATAATATATTAAAAATAAGGATAAGGATAATATTTAAATTAATTAAACACCTCCTGTTTTTTTAATCTTTCAGACTTTCAGTTGTTAATTGTTTAGATTAGATGCGACGATAACTCGAAACGTTCTCTAATCATAAAATTAATTTGGATTTTATAAAATATTTAATATAATATAAAATAATAATAATAATAATAATATTTTAAGAAATATACTCCTTACTATTTTAAGAAATATAAACTATAAGAGAAAAAAAATTTGTCCTTTTAAAAAACATAAGTTGTGCTCCTTTAAATTTTAAACTCTAAAATATGGGTAGTATATAATTATAATATGAAAAAGAAAATTCTATCTTCAGTCCCTTCCTTTACTAACATGCAGAGAGAAAAAAAATAATTTT